ATTTTAGAGTCACACTTTAATTATCTACTTAATTAAAGTACTTCACATTTTATTAAAGTAGTTTGCACTAAATTAGTTTGAAGTATTAATTAAAATAGTTTTAATTAGTTGCATTACTTTTGTATTCATTATTATATTTGTTGCAAATTAATATTTGTTACATTTTTAAGATGGAAGGTGGTAGATATTCGGTTGATTTGGGTAACCTCGAGCGCAATCGAAGGAACGAGATTGGGAGGAAGAAATCCCGCAAAGGTAAAGAACTTGCCGGCTCTTCATATCAAAGCCGAGATGATTTTGAAACGGGTTACCAAAGGAGAGGTGGAGATGCGATGTCCGAAGAACAACTACAACAAGAATTGTCCCGACATAATAACCGCTTTCTACAACAACAACAAATCTTGACGGCCATTGACGAAGAGGAGCTTGAGGATAAAGATGCGGAGGAAATGGAACCAGAGACGGCCGAGGAGGAGGGTGCCGGCAGCCATGACGCCGACGAGTCTGCCTCATTCCAAACTGCCACCGGTAATAAAAAAAAAAGTAAATCTGAACTAATGAAAAATAATTTTGATAAGTGGAAGGACCCACAAACCGGTTATTGGCACGCAACTTGCAAGTGGTGCAACAACAATTATAGCTTGGGAACCTCCGGCGGATACGGATCCGCCGCAAGACATCTTAAGGCAAAGCACCCCATGGAGTATGCAAAATTAGGCGGCGGAACGGGGAAGCAAACTCAAATATCGAGGTTTGCGAATTCTTAACCTTTTGGTAATTTCTCATACAATGATGCACAAAATTTGACTGGTGTGGCTAACTTAATTTGTGAAGGAAATTTGCCTTATATGTTTTCTGAAAGTCTTACTTTAAGAGATTATGCACAAGGTAGTTTAAATCCACAATATAGAGGTTATAGTCGCAAAACTGTTAAAAAAGAAATTATAAGGCTTTATAAAGCGGAAAAGGCAAGGTTACAAACTTTTTTTGCAAACTTTGATGGACGTGTTACTATTTGTTCTCACATATGGGAGGATGATTTTCATCATTTATATTATTTGGGTCTGACTGCACATTATATTGATGAGGATTGGAATATGCATAAACGTGTTCTTGCTTTTCGTGAATTTAATGATCGTCACACTGCTGAACATATTTATATTTTGATTGAGCGTATTTTAATTGAGTATAATTTGATTGATAAGGTGTTTGCTATTGGTTTCGATAATGCTACTAATAATACTGCTGTTATACCTAGATTGCGTGAATTGTGTGGTGCCAATACTTTGATAGGTATATTTTTTCATCAACGCTGTGCAGCCATGTTATAAATTTATGAGTGCAAGACGGTCTAAAAGCGTTATGAGATGCTATGGAGGTAGTCAGGGGGGAGATTAGACGTATTTGGGGTAATGGTCAACTTAGATTAAAATGGCAAACTTATTTGACTGAAAGAGGTGTGAGATATGTTGCTTTTCCTAAAGATTTGAGTATTCGTTGGAATAGTACTTATAAATTACTTAAAGTTGTTCTTAGATATAAAGAACATTTTCCTGCTTTTTTAAAACAACATGATAATTATATTATAAACTCGGCTGAGATCGACACTTGCGAAAAAATTTGTAATGTTTTGATTTTTTTTAATGCAACCGAAACTTTTAGTCATGTTTATAAACCTACCGCAAACCAATTTTTTCGTGAAGCTGTTAATCTCGCCGGTGCTTTTAAAGAATTTGAGAATGCCGTTTTCGTGAGTTATTTTTGTGATTATATGAAGGAATAGTTTTTAAAATATTATGCACATATTCCGCATATTTATGGTATTGCATTTATTCTCGATCCTCGTTTTAGACTAGCTAATTTGGAAGATTGTTTCAACTTCTATTATCTTGCCTTTTTTTTTGGTGAATTTCCAATGTATGACGATAACCCCATAGATCCGAAAACGGAATACAACGAGGTTAGTGCTTTTCTTTTATGACTTATTTAATGAGTTTCGTGCACAATATAGCAACACTCCCCCTCCCCCGATACGAACTAGGGCTGGGCACGGGCCGGGTCGGGGCGGGTAATGCAAAATAAAATGGAACCGCCGGTTCCATTGTACGGTTCGGTCCGGTCCGGGTATTACAATTTTCAAAATAGGAACCGGAAATTACCCGGCCCGTTTGAAACGGGTCGGTCCGGTCCGGGTTTTACGGTTTCTATTCTCATGTCTTGAAATTAGTAAAAACTCACGAAGTTCCAAAAATCAATAATCAATAATATAGGACATTAGCAAGTTTCAAAATAACAACATAGTGGTGCACATATAACACAAGCGAAAAGTCCAATACTCCATAATTTCTTGTATATAAGTTGTTCCAAACAATTAAAGTGATTGCTTTTTTTATATTAAATTTTCAGTATTAGCCAAAGTTGACACATACATGGTGGGTGGTAAACACAATTTCTATATTTTAATAACAATATAATAATAAAAATATAACAAAATCATCTTTAACAAATAATTAAATTCCATAGAGAGGAATAATTCAATAACAATAAAAAGTAATAAGATATTTATGAAACATTTAATCAATAATTTGAAAACAAAAGGATGTTACTGCAACTTAATTTAAAATCCTACTCCTAGCAAAGGAAACAAAACTATTTCAAAACCGATTATCACAAAACTATTAATAAATTAATATACAATATATATAACGGGCCGGGTCGGGTACCCGTTATTTTTTAATTTTGGAACCGGTCCGGTTCCTTAAAAAAAATTACCCGACCCTACCCGGACCGTTTTAAGGCAACAAAAAATGGAACCGGCCCGTTTTGGACCCGAACCGCCATTACCCGGACCGGACCGCGGTTCCAAGACCCGTTTGCCCACCCCTAATACGAACATCTTCATCTAAAGGAAAATAGATTTTTAAATCTGCATTTGGCAATCTTATGAAAAAACTAAAACAACTCACGTTACTGAACAAAGCGCATTGAATGAGATTACTTCGTATTTAACATATGAAGTTGATTTTGAAGAAAATGATGACTTTGACGTTCTAAACTGGTGGAAGTCAAAAGAAAGAACGTTCCCGGTTTTAGCACGGATGGCTAAGCAAGTACTATCAATGCCGGTTTCAATAGTTGTTGTGGAACAAGAATTTAGTTCGGCCGGCAACGTCTTGACGGCATCTAGATCGAGATTGAGCGCGGAGTCTCTTGAGACGCTTATATGCTACCACGATTGGTTGAAGGCCGCACGTAGAACTCAAGAAATGAGCATCACCCCCCCCACAAGAATTTATGGATGACTCAACAACCGATGGTGGCTCTACCTATGCCGGAGATTCTGATTGATTAGTATTTTAGAAATTATTATGAAATGTATTTTGTAGCACTTCTAAAATCAATTTGTACTTGTACTTCAAATTTCAAAATTGTAAACTTGTACTTCATGTCTTCATATTTCAAAGTTGTAAATTTGTACTTGTACTTCAAATTAATTTGTAAAGTTGTACTTCATATTTCAAATAAATATGCGTTCATTTTTTCATATGTAGTACTTCTCAAATTAATTAATTGGTTACAAACTTACAACTTAAAATTATTTTTCTAAAATCTAAAGACTGTTTTTAAATTAAAAATACATTTACAATATGTAATTTGTTTAAATACTTATACACCTATTTTGTAACATTTGTAAATGATAAATCAAACCACTTTTCTAAGTAAAAATAGCTTTACATAATTCATTAAATTAATTAACTTATTTTACAATATGTATAATTTTCAAAAAAAAATATTTAAAAAAATTTAAAAAAAACAGCTCCCAAACGGCTATATAGCCGTTGGGGCTTTGGGTGGGGGGCAGGGGGGTCCCGGGTGGTGGTGTTGTGGGGAGAGGGGTTCAAAAACATCTATAAATACATCTATTTTCTAACATTTTTCTACACCTCTTCTCCAACTTTTCTCCATCTTCATCTTCTCTTATTATCCTAGATTCCTACTTATACATCTACCATTTTAAAGATGGAAAGTACATCTTCCTTTATGCAAAACAATTTTGATAAGTGGAAGGACCCGAAGACCGGACTGTGGTGGGCAACTTGCAAGTGTAGCTTGGGGCGTTTTCACGAATACGGGATGACAATAAAACATATGAAGTCCTGTGACAAAGGGAAAACAACAACCAATGGTGACAGAAATCCCAATTGATATTTATTAGAAAATGTATTCCATATTGTTGCTTTTTCTCAATTCTCAAATGTAGTTCCTATTTCAAATAAATGCACTTCAACTTTTTTTAATAAGAATTTGTATATTCTGTAATAATTAAAAAAAAATTATTACCCAGCCCGGCCCGACGGGTGACCCGACCCGTGACCCGGGCGGGTAGCCCGGCCCGAACCGGCACCGGCCATAGCCCGGACCGGTCCCAAGCCTACCTCTACCTGACCCGAGGCCCGACCGGGCCTAGGCCCGGCTCGGGTCCATCACTAATTATGGCTGTGGAGAATTTTGTAAAATTTTTAGGTTTTAAGATATTTTGACAACCTTAAAAAGGGAACAGGTGCAAATATGTCCCTAAACTCCTGAAGTACACGTGGAGATGTACATATATACTCTTAAACTTCTAATATGCGGAAAAATACTTTTCATGTTCCTATAAATAGCAAATATACCCTTATTCACTTACTAAAAATAAAATAAATAAAATAAATTTTAAAAAACACCAAAAATAAATTACAAATTTAAAATTAAAAATTGAAATTATAGAACACCAAAGATATGCTATATTCGTCCCGTTGAGATTATCTCATTTTACCTTTTTGATCTGTTCCACTAAAATTGTCTCATATCAAATTTGGTAAAGTTTATTTGGTTAACCAATCTTACTTTTACTTTATCAATTCAATATCAACCGCATACATTACTTTTTAGAAAAAAATGACATGTATATTACCAACAGAGTTTCACCGGACAAAGACATGACTAGTTTGTGAAATAATGGGAAAGGAGTACTCCAATTGGAGCCCTAATAGATATATTTATAATAGAAGAGTTGCCAAAATACAAAGTATTTCTAAATAGATATTAGGCAGATTCCCAAATATATATTAGGAAGATTCCTAAATATATTAGGCTATTACACCCCCTCAAACTGTGCGGGAGATACAACGCGCAAGTTGTCTTTTAAAAATGAAATTGCGAACAAATAAACTTTTAGTAAATATATCTAAAGAATCAATGTTTGCGGCAGCAAGCGGCGAACTCAACGGCGCGCTGGAAGCAAGCACCATGGTCAGCGACGCAGAAAAGGTGGGTTGTGCGGACATATGCAGCAGCAGGCGACGAACTCAATGGCACACTGGAAGCAAGCACCGTGGTCAGCGACGCTGAGAAGGTGATCCGCGCCATATCAGCTGCACTCATCCTCAAAGGATCGCAAACTGCCGTAGATGTGACGGCAGTTGACCCCAAGGCGGCGGCGGCTGTACTAGAGTTCATGGGAACCAAAAAAAAAAAAAAACTGTATCTAAAAACATAAGCTCTTGATACCATGTGAAATAATGGGAAAAGGGTACTCCAATTGGTGCCCTAACAAATATATTTATAATAGAAGAGTTGCCAAAATACAAAGTATTTCTAAATAGATATTAGGCAGATTCCCAAATATATATTAGGAAGATTCCTAAATATACTAGGCTATTATAGTTATGTTTTTGGACAAAAGTGTGATTGATCACTATGTATGAGTAATTGGAAAAGAGTCATTATAGTGTATTTCAGAATGACAAGTCTCTGATTGATGATAAGTCACTGAGAACTAGTCATTAAATAATATGACAAGTCATATTAATTTAGTTGTATTTTTGTCACTTTATACGTATGTTTGCACCTTTCTTTATGGAAAGCCAACCAAAATAGGAATGTAGCAATTCTCCTTGAGCAGAGTGTGTATATTATACCATAAACTGTCTAGTATAAAGTATAAGAGCACCTCGAATGCTATAATGTATTACTAAATTAATAAATTAATTATCTCACATTCCACATGTGTAATGTGCACATTGTAGCATTAGAGATTGTCTAATACTCTGTATATGATACAAACATCAACACCATGTGTTAATAGTGGCATCTATTGAGAACAATAATTCTAGATATCAGTCGGCCCTAGGCGACGAGATCATGGACGATCTAATCTTTTGACTTCTCTCAAATTGGCAAGAGTTTTGATGATTGCAATGTCCTATGGACACTAATGAATCAAAGATTTTGCAATGTTGTCTCTCTTTTTTATTTCTATCTTCTAGGGTTCTGGTTTTGATAGAGAGTTATGTTCACTTCATGTTAAAATATTAGCTCTTTGTAACTGAAGCACTTCAAATTCACACCTATTAAAATCATTATTGTCCTTAATAAAATTAAATTCACTATTTTGTAATCCTAGACTATTTATCATCATACAAAATACGTAATTTTAGTGTAAAGAATGCAATTCTTTTTTTACATTGCAACACGCCAACACATACGTTAACACTTTTTTTGAAAGAATCTAAAATATATAGTAAAGTTTTGAAATAATATTTTATAGTAACACTACTAAATTGTGATATAAAAACAATAAAAGTGAGAATTGGACACAAGTACATTTTTAAAAAGTTTTATTTTTAATTTTGAATTTATGATTTATTTTTGGCATTTTTTGAAATTTATTTTATCAATTTTACGTCAATAGGGGTAAATTTTCTCCTTTATAACATGAGGGGTATTTTTGCACTTTTTAAAAGTTCAGGGGTATATGTGCACTTTTACATGTACTTCAGGAGTATATTTGTTCCAAAAAATAGAATATGCGTGTATTTATTCTCACACAGTCACACCCATAATACAAGGGTATATTTGTACCTTTTCCCTTCAGAGATATGTGGCACCTTCACATATACTTCGGATATATTTACACATTTCTCCCAACAACAACTATAACATTCCATTAAAGAGTGGCATTCCCGCCGTACAGCCGCCTCCATTTGAGGTGCTTCCCGGTGACATTTTTTGATGCAATTTTGTCAACATGTTATTTATGAAGTGTAGATTAATTATGTCCACCAAATTTCAGCTTAAAACTCAATCCGGAAGTCAGTTAAATAAATTATTGAAAAACAGTGCGCTTTTTATATATTTTTTGGCACAATGCCACAATGTTTTACAACTTACTTCCCTATTGAATTTTAAATTGAAATTTGGTGAACATAGTCTACACTTTATAACGAAACTGCTCGCACAATTTTATCAAAAAAATTCACCGAGAAGCACCTGAAATGAAGGTGGCCAGACAGCGGTTCCTGTGAGACTGGCCCGACACGAAGATTCATCTTCCATTACATCTATAAAGTAAATACGGAGTATATTTTTAGTAGGAACCTGCACTATAAAGTAACATTATATATGCATTTGTGTGTTAGACACGAGTCACACACCATCTGCAGTATGGCCATTCTAGAAAAGCCAATGCTTCTTTCGCTGGTGTCGAGTCGGGACCCCTGTTGCATTTCAAATACAGGAAAATGTATATCAAGACTGCAGTAGAAAACATCATTTATATATACTTGAAAGTTAAATCATAGCTAGAGTGATCTTGTTACCTCCATCAGTTTCATACAAAGAATTATAATGTACTTCACTCCAAAAGCTCAGCCATAGTTCTACACTCAAAAGAGAGCTTATAAATCAGGAAAATGAAAGCAGAAAAACAAGAGCTAAATGCCGCTACGATGATCTTTGATGAGTGAAACGTGTAAGAACAAGACGATACACAGACCTTGAAAATCTAGATTTTAGTATATAGATTACCCCAACACTATTAGCATGAGTAAAAATTCCAAATTGTAGCTACCTTGTTGAAGGATGTTGATAGTATATATCCTACTTTGCACCAAAGATTTTTCATTTATGAGTTTTTCATTTATGAGTATAGATAAAGCCAGGGTTTGATATATGCACCACTACTTTCTCCATAGGGTACTAATGTCATAATCCACGATGCGTATGTTCATTTTTCACTATCAATATTGTAATTGGACATAACTATAGCAACTTCATTGATTCATAGCCATCTCCTGATATTGTCAACCTACGTGGAAAGAAAACATGGTCATGACAATTCTTGAATTTCATCTCATTATTTCTTTGTCAGCAGGTTGCGACATGAAGGGCATCCGGTGCAAAAAGTTTGCCACTGTGCTTTCACATGAATTTATAGAGTTCACTAATTTTAGAAAATCAACTGACATTATACATTTCATGTCATAATCTCAAAGACACTAATATAGTTGGAAAATGGAAATGTGTACTATATAAATACTTCCCTTATCTTGATTATCCTACTTCTATGAAAGGGACGAAGCCATAACTTCTTCAAGGTTAGATTGACAAATCATGAAGTAAAGGGGGGTCGGATGTACGCAGTCTTACCACTGTACTAAAGCATCAAAAGACTATTTCCGGATGACCCATAGTGAAATTCGCGTCAAACATTGCATGCACTGACTACTACTTCATAATAAAGAAGCGCAGACAGTTTAGTGAGTCATTTTGCTTTATTCCATCATATTCCCCAACCAAAAAATAGTGAGTCCTTGACTCCATTAAAAATGATGGAAGTCTTAATTGTTCAGGAGGAAGTGCACTTTATTTTCAATCGCTTGGAAATCTACCAACTAAATAAATACATGAGTATTAATCTAAATATATAACTTTTGGATCCATTTGGTTCAAAATTAACATCATAACAGGGTGACAGACACATAGCCAAGTTATGAGCACAAGCAGGGTCCATATCGAAAACAAAACGAATTCATGATAATAACTCTGCTTGATTATACCAACACAAAATATGTTCGTTAGGTAGACCATGAGCTCATGGTTACTTGCATACATTGTGCTGTTGTGCAGACAATAAGTACATTTTACATAAATACTAACTTCAGTATTTTGGTAATTCCAACTTATAAGAAATGAAGATGAAATAATGACCAAAATAATACCACCATGTTATGGAAAGACAAAAATAAGACTCATTCCAAATTTGGACAAAAATGTGACTGAATTAAATTAAAATGGCTAAGCTATCCCTCATATAGCATTTCCCAGCGCTGCACCTTCCCGTTCCTCTGCACCCTTCCAAAACCCAAAGGTTTTCTTCATCGCTGCTCCGCCTCACCATCCCAAGCCGCCGTTGCTCCTTACCGTACAGGTCGCTGTTCCGCCTCGCCGTCCAGATCTCCGCCTCACCTCACCGTCCAGTTCTCCGCCTCGCCTCACCGTCCAAGTTGCGGTTCAACCACCGCCGTCGCAGTCATACTCGAACAGATCGGCGTAGCATGAGATCGTTCTAGCCAATGAGTGACAAGGCACTCTAGCTACGACCTTCCAGTCCGTTGATTTTTCCCGACCGGAGCTTGAGGATGACCACCAGCGACGCCACCGGAGTTCATCCGACTAGTGGTGGTGATGAGTAAACGACGACGGGTCTTTAGATGGGCGGTGGTGGTTAGGGCAACTGGGGCGGGTGCACGGCTGTGCCTGTAATGGGGTGGGCACCGGTTTCATCTCCTTTTTCGTTGATTATAGAAATCTAAGGTTGCTGCTTGCTGGATTTGTGATGTCACTGGCCGGGTTTGTGAAAATAGGTCACTGGCAGGTCCTGGGGAGCTGGGGCGGGGAAGTAGAAGGAGGGACAGGGGGCTAGTGCGTGGTGGTAACGGAGGGATGAGGTTGGGGCATGGTGGTGCCGGAGGGGCAGGGGCTGGATAAGCCAGGGGATTGGGGTGACACACGGGAGGGGGCTGGGAGAGGCAGGGGCTGGGGTGTGGTGTTGGTGGTCGCCGACGGTGGCCAGAGGTGAAGGTCACCGGCAGACGTGGTTGTCGGCGGTGGGCGGAGGTGGTGTTTGCCGCGGGTGACCGGAGATGGTGTTCGCCGCTGGTGGCCGGCGGTAATTATGAGACCCTGTAACTGTAAATGGTCGAACCCGTTAACGTAATTGATCAAATTGGATAACAATAACGGATCAAATTGATTAACTCTAACTGACGGGCCGGGTAATTGTAACGGGCGGGTCGGGTCACTGTAATTGACCGGTCAGCTAACTGGGTCATGCGGGATAGTGACCAAGTGTCGGATAAGGTCACTGGGGAGACGGGTCACTGGGCGGCGGGTCACCGGGAACGAGGTAATTGTCACTGGCACCGGTAGCGGGAGGTCATAGTGACCGGTGGTGGTCTCTGCTCGGGACGGTCACTGGTGGTCTTTTGGTCACTTTTCCATCATTTGCAATAGAGCCAAAGACTCACTATTTTTTGGCTTAGGAATATGATGGGTCACTTAACTGTCTACGCTTCTTTGTTATGAAGCAGCAGAAAGTCCATGCAATTCTCGACGCAATTTCCACTATGGATCATCCGGAAACAGTCTCTCTGTGCTTTAGTGCAGGGGTAAGGCTACGTACATCCGACCTCCCCTTAACCCACCGAAGGTGGGAGCCTTTGCGGTACTGGGGTAATGATGATGATGGTGGACTTTTGCCTTTTGGTCACTGTGACGTTACTGTAGCACCTTGGAATGAAATTGTATTAGTATAGGGGTATAAATGTATACTGGTCTCTTAGCTTATTTTTAGTCACATTTTCGGAAACTGAAAAAGGTCACTTTTTTGCATAATCCCAATGAAGATTGTGCCAGTTTCTAATGGGATCCTTCCCACAGTATCCAGCATAGTTGTGGCACTAGGCGCATTTTTAATTCCAAAGGTGTGAGGGGTGAGACACACTCTTTTATTTTGTGCTTTAGTGATGCGGCTTTTGGGATATATACCCTAAAGAGGAGTAAAAATAATGTGGTTTACTTAAATGTGAGTACAATGTTTCTTTCCCTAAATAGGAGTAAGTATTGTGATCAGAAACCATGCTGTCATACTCAAATCACACAACTGCCATCTTTTAATGCCTGTTAATGCCATAATGTGGCTGTATGACTTCTGGATAGCACTACTTTACTCATATGGGGGGGGGCATAGTACTATTTAGTAAAATCGCCTTGTTTATTCTTCTATTTTAGGGTTTATACTCCTATTTTATGAAATTTCCTGTATGATATTCCTTTTTACACGTCGTGTAAACCCTATGCTTTTGTTCTCATTTATATTCAAAAAAACCAAAAAGCATTTCAGACTAACTATAAAATCTATTGAAGGCGCTACTTAGTTTAGACAAACGTGATAAACGGAGAAGTTGTCTTTCTAATGAGCATGAAATTATCTAAGCATTCAAAAATAAATAGATCATTTCCATTTGAGAGAGATAAAAGAGCAAATGTGCTTTTGCATACATACCTCTTGCAGGATTGATGTCCTTGGGAAGGATCTCAATGTAGCATCTGTCTCGAAAAGATGTGACTAAACATATTTTAGCACAGTACTGCAATGAGAACAATCAGACAATTAGATTTTTAGCAATAACGTAATAGGGAAGAAATAAAACACTACTGTAGTAAATTGAAATGACAATTTACAAACTATATTCAACTAAGAAGTAGAGACTTGTTGACGTCCAACATCAAATTTGGGTGTTATGCCTATATGTATAGACTACAGGGATGTAAATGGTGCAAATTACACATTTACACCAATACCAATCCAGGCACTTCAGAATATCAAAGAAATAGGTTCACCAATTCAAAAACACATACACAAGCATGTTTAAAGAGAATGTGGAGTGCAATGAGAAGAATGGTTAAATAAATAAAGAAAACTAAGGGCTCTGCTTGTTCCCTGCAACATGTTTTTTCCCTAAATTTTCCTGTGTTTTGCACTTCTTTTGCTATACACATCATTCACTGTAATGCCCGTATTTTACATAAAACAACATTGTAGGATAATGTTGTGTTGAAAAAATATTTTCCCAGGAAAAATATTCTCTGCGTCAAATTATTTTCTCGCAATCAAACAGACCATTGAAATGAAAAAGGTAACAAAAAATAAAAACGTACTCTGTCTGCTGCAGCTTGAAGAGTAACATGGTCTCCCCATTCCCCTTTTCTGACAGGCAGTAAAGTGATATTAATGCCTAGTGAGACACAACAAATTGTGTCTAAAGATCAATAATACTTGAAAAGTTTATCTAACCTCTTCATTTTCTTCAGGTAGCTTTCGTATTTCATAGGAACATAGCCTTCATATAGTGTTCTGAAATGTTTTAGCTGAAAACAATTTAGAAGCTAAGGCCCCAGATTACACAACAGCCACAAATCTGGTTGTTACTGAAATATGGATGTGCAAGACTATAAGCTTAGAGAAAGTTTAGGATAATGGTGGGATGTGATACATATGCTGCCTATGCTAAGTAATTAAGCACCAAATGACACTTCATAATTTTATAACTAGTGTATGATGATACACTCATTAGTACAATTTTATGTCGTATAAGCAGTGGACGACCAAACATAAGTAACTTATGTGTTACAAGTCCCTTGGAATGAAGGGAGGGAGGTATTGGGGAAGAAGAGAGGGGAGAAGGAGTTGCAGAGAGAAGCAACAACAACATCCAAAAAGAAGGGTGGGGTCGGCTAACATAACCCGATCCATGATATCGATGCCAAAAAGAGAAGACAGAAAAGAAGAAGAAAAAAAGTAAGATAAACCGAATAAGATAAAGATAAATAAATACTGTATAAGATAACGATAACATAAGAATATAAGAAAGATAAAAGATAAAAAGATAAAAGAGCATTAAAAAGCTAGAAGATATAAATAACATAAGAACATAAATAGATAAAGAAGATAAACGATAAAAGAAACACAGAGAGGAAAAATAGAAAAGAGATCAATTGTCAACATAAATGTGCGCCCTCCAAATTGCTCTATTCAAAGTCATACTCTAATCCAAGTTTGTTTGGGTCTTTCCCTCCCTCTCCTCTCTGTCTCTTCTCCCCATTCGTCAAGTCATCTAACATGTGCATCACTCGATCTTCTACGCACATGCCCAAACCACCGCAAATGAGACTCCTTCATTTTATCTTCAATAGGTGTTACTCCCACTTTTTGTCTGATTATCTCATTGCTCAAGTGGTCTTTTCTGGTATGTCCACACATCCAACACAACATACACATCTCTGCCACACTCATCTTTTGAATGGGACATTGTTTAAGTGGAAACATCAAGAGTAATCCCACTGTTGTTAATACTTCTACCTTCATTGAGAAAGGGAAAAAAAGTACAAAAAAGTTTAAGTGGCATCCACGTCAGAAACACAAGGGGTTACTGGTTAGTGGTTGTTTACGGGTTAATTGTTTCCACGTGGAAACAATTAACTTTTTCGAAATAGTACGTGGACTGATTTGACAATTTTTCCATGTTTTCTATTTTCTTCAAGTCGTTTTCACCGTCTTTTTGGATTGAGGTTCAGATCTTAGGAGTTGAAATTGGATCAGGAATAGCTGCTAGGATTTTCCATGGTCTATTCAATAATATTGGCAGCCAGGTCTAGCCCCTCTTCAGTATTTTATAACAAACTCCTCACGTCCCTCAAAACAAGTTGAAATATCTTACCCAGAAGAAATTCTCTGAGATCTTACATCAGTGCATGTTTTTAAGCAACATGATATGGTCTATTACATTCATTAAGCATCGTCATACTTCACCAAGAAAATAAAGGGAGCATCATCACAACCTTAATCGCAATTATGTTGGGATCGGTCTCATGAAATTTGGTCTCGGTGAATTGTCTAAAATCAGTTAGCACTATAATAAAGGGAAGCCCGGTGCACACTGGCGTCCCGCTAGGCGAGGGTCTAGGGAAGGATCCCACAACAAGGGTGTATAAGGATCAAGCCTTCCCTTGTCATTTTAGCACGAGGCCACTCCCAAGACTTGTACTCGTGACCTTTCAGTCACATAGCAACATCATAACTGGTGCGCCAAGGCTCCCCTTCTAAAATCAGTTAGCACTATAAAGTAGTAAAATCATGCACCATAGCATAGTGTGATTAGTGTCAACGATTATTGCAAGATCCTTCTTATTGCTACCCTCTAAAGAAGCAAAAATTGTAACAATAACACATAATACAGAAGTTAGATCAAACACCTAAAGCTGTATGAGACCTCAAATGAAGTTTCCAATCAATACATGTTTAAAGATGAAGCTGAGAAGTCAGAAAAAATAATATAATCACACCTGTTTGACAACCTGCTTTCTTACATACTTATGGTGATCTGGATTTTGAAAAATTTGATCTGCAAGGGCTCGGAACTGTCCAATGAGGTATACAGTGACAAAGACATAGTAAGTAAAGAGACAATTCATGATGTTTTTGCAAAACTATAAGACAGCAAATGGCACACATGACTGCATAATGAAATATCTCCAAAAGTCATGTTAAAGAGACTAACTTGGCAATTCCCATCTCCTTCCATTTGAACTTCTGTGAGATGATATGTTGCCAACCTGAGTGATCATTAAAGATGTTGGAAGTATTTTTTATGACATTGCAAGAAACACAAACTCTTGCATCACCTCTTATGCAAATGAGAATTATGTAAATGAAGAAAAAAGTATCAAGTTGCCTTCATATGAGAATTATGTAAGTGAAGGATAACCTGAACTACCTATTATGAAGTAGCATACAACCATTGCTGCAATAATTGTTAAGAGAACTTGATAAGTGATGCCAACAACAACATTATCCCAGTGCCGCAAAGGCTCCCACCAACAGTGGGGTAAGGGCGATCGGATGTACGCAGTCGTACCCATGTACTAAAGCACAGAGAGACTGTTACCGGATGACCCATGATGAAAATCGTGTCAAAGAATGCATGGTTGCCCGCTGCTTCGTAAAAAAGAAGTGCAGACTGTTTACTCAGCCATTTTGTTTTATTTCATCATATTCCCAAGCCAAAATATAGTTAATCTTTGGTGCAATTGGAAATGATGGAAAATAGAGAAATGATACATGATGCCAATATTGGGAAATTATACTAACAAGACAATCACATGCAAAAGTTATCAAACTCCCAGAGGATGCTGGTCCTCCAATCATCTCTTAAGTTCAGGGGCTTCATGCCTCCACCAAAGGAACTATACACATAAGAAACTCACTCATTTCAATGGCTCACATCAGAATTGAGAAAAAATGTTTAAAGATCACGTGATTTTCTCACCATAATATTCACTAAATATTCAAGTAATATGTGGTTCAATCACACATATTTTTAGCTAAAATTATCCAATCCAAGTGTCTGTAGACTGCATATAATCACTTCACAATCCCATTTTTCTAATCCTAACCGTTCGGTAAGATATGTTTAGCTTAAATGACTAAATTTTATCAAATAAAAGTTATTTTATCAAATAAAAGTTAGAGCTTAATAGCTGACTATACTGAAGAACATATAGTCCATATTATATGGAGTCCACGCGAAGATCAGGATGCAACATGGAATAAAAGTTGTCGTGAAAAGCTGAGACGGAACTTTCGGAATAGAAAAAAATAGGGATTTTTACTAATATGTGACTAAGGATGGGAGTCACCATTTTTAGTTTTTAGAAAACAGTATCACAACACATATCAATTAAGGGAAAACAATGTATAAATAAACTGCACTATGGGCAACCTAGGATGTTCAAATCAGGAAAAACATTGTCTTGTTCAAATCAGGAAAAACATTGTCTTGTTCAAATCTTGAGAATTAAACCATCTCTTAATCATACATGTAGTAAGGTGATCCAAATTAAAGTTTACTACCAACTTTATACATGGAGCATACTTTGGTAACCATTCACTCAACCCCCCTAGTAAAACAAGCAGAGTAATGGGTTACCTTTCAGAAAGCCTTGCGTGGTCTAATGTGGCATCATTAGTATCAGGTATTGCTTGAACTACCCTTGGGACGTGCTGCCAGTATTGTTAATACAATATAGCCTTAGAAAGATAGGCAATGTAATTGTGCATTTAACAGTTTTAAATTTTAATGTTGTCCATATATACATCTCCCCAAATACAATCCCTTGTACCATGGCAAAGAGTTGTGCCTTACTCCCTAAACTTAGATTTAAACTTTTTACTTTCTCTTTCAGTCACACTGTTCCAGAAAAAAATGAAAATCATTTTTAACTCTGATATCATTAATTTACTCGAACATACCGCAATTGAATCTAAATGAGAAAGCCTCTTTCCAAGCTTGCTTGTGTACTTCAAAGAAGTTTCCTCCTCCTCAGCTAATATTTTAGCAATAGTATGATCATCCTGCGTACCCAATGAACTGCTTTTCAAGCTAGCACTCGAAATAGAGCACGATGAGCTGGCCCTTGAAATCCCAGGTTGCTCATTCATTGTAAAATCGGAGTACAAAGCAATCCAATGACGAAAAGAGTAAGAGCACCTACATGATCCCACACACATGCCAGTGAATTATGTATGTATAATGAAAGTGGGGAAAACCTGCCAAATGAACAAATGAACATTCTACAAACTAGATGCCGATCAACTTTTTGCTTGAAATCTTCAAGGAATATCAAGCAACCTTTGTTCAGGTAAGCAGCTAGAGCCTTCTTCTAGGGAGTCAAGAAATCCGAACTGCGAGTTGATTTAAATAAAATAAGTGAAGAAAATGGACGCAAACCAAGAACAGAAGCTGGATTGCAATAAAAGCGTCTGTACTCTGTAGCTTACACGCCAGAATTATATGAAGGCAGACAGCTTTGGTAAACAAACAACGCCCTATACCAACACAAAGCGTGTGACACGGATATATACGGAACAGTATCTTATTACAGGGCTCCCTCTTTTACCAGGTCAGTCAAAAGTTGGCAGAGGATAATGGCAAACAATGGCGGAAATCTCATGTGTTATTTTAGCTCATAAAGACGCAGTACCATGTTTGGTTTTTTCAGTTACTGCCTGTTTGGATTTAGTGTTGAGGAGTGTTAGTAATGGAAGTGTTAGTAAGTGTTGATGCTAACACTTGTTTGGGAGAAAAATCCAGATGTGTTAAGAAGTGTTAGTAATGGTTAGGAAGTGTTAATAATAACCTTCCCAACACCTCAATTGTCCATTTTTTTAACACCCCGATTTGGAGTGTTTTGAGGTGTTGGACAATTATTACCCTTCTCATTTACCCGAAAAACATAAAATGCTTCGACATTTCACTTCGAATGTCTTTCCCACGAGTCTGATGGTTTGTTTTTTCATCTCTTCTCTTTACTCGTTTCTTTTGCCTCAAGGTAAAATTATTAACACTTCCATTATTAACACTTCATTTATTTGACTCTCCCAAACAAGGTAAAATTATGTCTAACACTTACACTTCCCTTCCCTTCCGAGCCCTTACTAACACTTACTAACACTTCCATTACTAACACTTCCAAACACTCCATCCAAACAGGCCCATAGGTTTTGACCCAGCCCGAATAGGGGTAGGACTGTTAAGGAGCCGAGCCCGAATACCTAAAGCTCGAGTTCGGCTCGATAAGGAATTAATGGTGTTCGGGTTCGAGCTCGAAACTCGGCGAGCTTTACAAATGAGACTCGTGTTCGACTCGATAAGCATTCGATGTTCGAACCGAACGCTCGATAGATATGGTTGAATTTAAAATTTTAGGTGATGCTCGTTAATAGGCTTGTGCTCAAATGATTCGACAAGTATTCAGTTCCTTAATAATCAGATTTAAATTCATAAAATCATACTAATTATATTTAAATTTTGATTATATATAAATTAAATTTATAATTTCAGGTTGTTCGATAGGCTCGAGTTCGAACCGAGCCGAATACTACTATGTTCGAGCTCGGCTCGATTAATTTTTCGAACTTAAAACTTGGCTCGGGTTCGAGTTCGAAAACTCGTTAAGCTCGGCTCGTTAGGTTCGAAACTGAGCTCGAACTCGAATAGTTCGATAAAAGCTCGGTTCGTTAACAGCCCTACCCAGAACCAAACATCAAACATCAGTTTGGTTCGATCTTGAATTCGGTTGATTTGGTTTGTTTGGATTCATTTAGGGGGTGTGTTCATTTCAGACGTTTTAGGGTTTATGAAATCTGAGTGTATTTAAATAAGACATTTTATAAATCATAATAATTGAAAAGGTTGTATATAAACTTGAATGATTGGCATCTCCTCTCTAGGGTTTCGCAGCCCTTAGAGCTTTTTTTCCGTCTTCGGTTATACGGAAGACGGCTGGGTTTCTCCTCGGCGATCTTCATCTCCGGAAGTCTGCTTCCGTTGTTTGGTGGAGTCGAGCGAGGTTTCGTTGTTACTTCAGTGTTGATTTGCTGATCGTAAGGTCGGGCGGAAACAATTTTCTTTTGTCGAGGTGGAGGGGTCGACAGAGAAGAAGATGGTCGTGAGGGGTGATGTAGCTACGAGTGCGGGACGAGGAGTGTTGCACGGACTTCGAGTAGGCTAGATTGCGTTCGACAATGGAGGATCAATTAGCATGGTACCGGTGGTACGACCTCCTCCTGAACCACCACCATGAGTTGTACGAGGTGTTAGAGTCCGTGAAAGTTTTCCTAGTAATTGTCATCTATTTGTCATTTGTTTTCTTGTGTCCATCTTTGTTGTTGGTTTTGTCACGCCCGGGACCTATTGGACACATCAACAACCCGCCGTACAGTACGAATAGTCAACCGCAGTCCAACACATCCACACTATACAAGGCGTTTTGAATACCATTCACACATAGTACATCCATAAACAAACATAATGTAAAATATTCATTTAAAGCAGCGGAAACTTTAATACAAGTGTTCAAGCCACACTTGACAAACTTGGGCATACAAACCCCCAAATAATTATTCAGAAAATAATATCCACGAGCATTTAATGTAATTGTTTTTAAAACAGATACGGAGGAAGCACGAATCACGTCTTCTCTCCTCGGATCTTCCCGAAGCAACGGGCGATGGTAGCAACCTTTAAGTTCTGCCTGGAACTATGAGTTGGCATCCCCCGTGAAGGGGAGGTCAGTACTTTGTAACATTTGAAAAGTACAATGACAACTATACTAAGTATAATCAATGTTTCAATTTCAGAGACCCTCAAATAGAGTGTTATTATGTTATAGGCCGTAACACTTAGTCACTCTATTTAAAATATACTTACTTTATATATAAAGTCAAGTAGTCGGCCTGCAGGCCCATGTTCACTTGAAAACATTTTCTCTAGTTCCTATAACCATTAGTCACGACACTTCTAGTATTCAACGCATTATAATTGCATAGCAAGGGCTTGGCCCAACTACACTTCTATGCAATCCTTTATCTCGACATTCAACACATTATAATTGCATAGCAAGGGCTCAGCCCAAATACATTTCTATGCAATCCTTTAACTTGAAATTTAATACATTATAATTGCATAGCAAGGGTTCGACCTAACTACATTTCTATGCAATCCCAATTACATGGCAAGGGCTCGGCCCAACTACGTTTCCATATAAATCTTAATCACATGGCAAGGAGAAATTTCATAGCTTAAAGAGCCTACACTTGCATATTTTAACAATCAGCAACACATTTACATGCTAATAAAAGATTGATATATTCTGATTTGTGAATCTTGGAAAGGGACTGCTTGTTGTAATCTTTAATCTCTGGAGTATGAACATTCAACTTGAACCCAGAAGAACTATTGCTCCACTGATAAAAAAGAAAGACGATGTTACTCTATAATCTACTACATACAAATTCATGACAGCAATTCATAAATTATCCTTGCAAAGAGAAAAACCTGTTCTCATAAGATTGAGGATGAGTAGACAAAAACTTCCTGGGCACTAAGAGGGCAGCCCACATGCACAATGCTAAACGTATAATTAACTTAATAACCACCTACAAATGAAAGGAAAAATAATAAAAATTTGTAAAAGAATTACTCAAAAGAGCAAGGGAGGTGGAGGAGTATAACGACTTTTATTTTTCTCGGCTTTCGTGTCAAAAATGCTTTTACCTTTTTAATTACACAAAAAAAATTTATTTTACCAAACACTACCAACTTTTACTTTTCAAAACCTTTTTTTCTCAAACACTATCAACTTTTATTTAATCGCTTCTCCCAATTTCATTAAAAAAATCATTTTTTTTTTAAATCAGAAGCTGTTGCAAATTACAGACTATCGAATTTTTAATATTCAGTTTAACCGTTTAGTAGATTAAATTACAGACTTATTTCCAGAATTTCAGATTAATGGTTTTTAGGGAGGGTTTGCTAAGTTTGTTTAGCTTTTCACACTAAATTACAACCTTATTTAGTTTGTTAATGGTTTCCATAATTCCAGATTAATAGTTTAGCCGTTAATACTATTTCTATAAATTAGTATTTTTTGAGGGAAGACATTAAGACATTTAACTCTTTAAGCCTTTAATTAATCTTTTTTTTTTCACTCTTCCAGATGTTAGCTAGGCTTTAACATTCATTATGAATGTGACTGGTGGCTTCTTAAGTTCTAATTTATCATTTGTGAGCATCATTTATATTAGTATGAATTTGATTCTGTCTTGTTATTATTAATCTAATTATTTGGTTAGTTAGTATTAGTCTAGTAACTAGTAGTTCCATTGTTGTGTTTTTTGTATTTGAATATGACGAAAACTCTTATTCCTATAAGATTTATTTTTTTCTTTGATGTTTTTGTTCTAACATATGTTATTTTTATACCTGAAAATATTTTTTTGTCAAAATACACATTATTATATTACATTTTGTTTTATTTTTGCAATATATGGTATTTAATTAAATTTGTGCCCTTTTGCTTCAAAAAAAATTAATTTGGGCCCTTGGATGCCAAAGCTAGATGACTATAATAACTTTTAGTTATATTTTAGTAATATTTTTTTTTTTTTGTAAAAACTCATATTATTAGTAAGCATATTAGTTTAGATAAAAAAGTTTTTACTATTTTTTAAAGTTAAAATCATTATACATTACCCTCCCCTAAGCTTTGAAAGGACAGGATATGCACTACATCAACTACTTTTGGTGAGTCTGGGAAACTGTTTAAAAAATCTCACTATTAAGAAATTTATCGGAACACACACATATAGGAGAGGGTTCTAGTGAAACCCTTCCTTAGAAGGCCATATACCTAATCAACCCAATCCTTCAACTCCCACACCGAGCGCGATTTCCCATTCTTCACCAATCCTTGAAACAACCACCTCTACCAACCCCCAAATTGACTCGGAAATCTCAACCCTAAACTCACCAACGACCCCTGACACCCAGACACCAATCCCTGCTCCAACACCAATCCCTAAAACAACCCTCTTCACACCCCTGAACCCATTACCAACCCCTGACACCCAGACACCAATCCCAGATCCTACCACCACAGACAAACCCAAAACTGACTCCGAACCCTCTCCCTTAAATCCTGAAACAACCTCCACATTCAACATTGAATCAGATAGTGAGGAGGCACTTTCTTGCCCTCCAAACCTCATAGTATCCGAGGTTTACAAGGAATTGGCCGAGCCTGAAAAGGAGCTTGAAGTAATACCCATTCAAGGCCCCATTTCCACTTTCTCGGACAAACCCATCTATCAGTCAGCCTCAACTTCTGAACGGGCAAGGGATGACCTGCTGTATAAAGAAGGAGAAGCCTCACTCGTTACAATTGTTGATGGACACTGTTCTGAGGGTGAACCTAGTGGCAGCACTCACGGAAACTGGAAGGAATCATCCAATCTCATTGGGAAAAAATTAAGATTCACAAATTCTAACATGGAGTTTGAAGATGCCCTCATTAAATCCTCCTCCAAAAAAGTTTCTAAGGTCATCTACACCCCAGGGCCGAACTACATCTCCACCAGGTCACAATCTCTGAGGGCAGCCAAGGGGCTTCGCAAGGAAACCTAATCAGTTTTTATGATTATTTTAACTTGGAACATTCGAGGACTACGGTCATCTATTGACAGACTGCAAAGTCT